TTTAGAAAGAGGTTAAGTTGAATTCAGTGTCCCCTTTATCCAACTTCCAACAAACATTTAGAATTTTTCATGGAGAAGTTTCTTAGAGGAACTTTGAGATCACTGTTCTAGAATCGTAAGTTTTAAAAGTAATAGTGTATTGCTGTGAATCCTTCTCCATAAAGCTGACTGTGAAAATAAGTCATTTGTCTTTGTTTTCTTTATGTCAGGTCAAATCTGACTCAGAAGCAATCCCCCCACCGATGCTGTGACAGCAGGAAATTTATGCTCAATGAAGTGGGCCCACATATCTTGCCCAGGGCTGTATAAAAATCTTATGTGGTTCTTAGAAAATGGAAAATGCGCCCTTAATCTTTAGCCTGCCACGCTACTGACATCTTCACCATCCAGATCATCATGGTCCCTTGAAAATGGGTGGATACTGGGCCATGTAGTCCATTCTTTCTCTGAGAGCTTGCCCTTTCCTTGAAATCACCGAGGTGGAGCGTACATCCTCATCACTAGCCAGGCTGGCTGGCTTACCTCCCTTGAGGCTTAGAGTAATGAAGGTCCATCCATGTGCTTAGAATGGGATAGAAAAAATATGATGACAACAAAATACAAATTAGTATTTCAATAAATAATTCTTCCACAGCAGGATGAAGATATGACCATTCCATTGTCTATACTGCTCCTGGCAGAGCAAGGGTATTGAACTCAGGCAGTTTGACCCCAGAACACATAAGGAATAGATTTATTGCTTCATTCTTAAGAAAACCACTGATCCAATCAACCAATGCTGTTTATCATCTACCACACTGAAGGCACTATGCTAGATGCTGTGAATAGAGCAGTAAACCAAATAGATAGGGGCCTTTCTTTGTGATGCTTAATGTCCAGCCGTAGAGACTGTGCAACTATGGCAGGTTAGAGTTTATGCCTTATAGCTCAGATGTGCCAAAAATTAAAGTAGTTTTCTTTATTTTTTTATGGTAGGCCTCATTCCTATTGATGGTGGGGAAACCATTTAAAGCTATCAACCCATGAAAGTAATTCATTTTTAAAAATAGTTTAAAATGGCCAAGTTTGGTCTAACCCAGTGTCTTTTGGGTACTTGTAGTTTTTTCCCCAAAGGTTTTTAGTCCTTCTTTTTCCTCTTTTCCTTGGCCCAGGGTGAACCTAAAAAGTATGCATACAGGGAAGGTATTCTCCTGAGCCATACTTGGAGAATTGTACTAGAATCTCTTTGCCAGTGCTCCATGGGGATTCCTACAGACACGCAGGCCTCCTCTCCCACAGGGTTTCAGCCCTCAGGAAGAGCTGGGGCCCTACAGTCTAACCTCTTTGCTCTATTCTGTTTCTTTCCCTCAAAATGTCCCCAGCAAAGGAGGAATTTCTACTTCTTGTTGGATGCCTTTATGATTGTTTTTTATATGGTCTTCTGCTTCTTTGAGCCATTTACTTATACATTTGACAGATACTTATGGGACACCTATAATATACCAGGTACTTGTCTACCACTCAGGATATGTCAGTGATCAAAACCAAGACTCCAGTCCTTATGAAGTTTACATTCTAGTGTGGAGAGAGGAGAGACAACCAATAGACATAAAAAATAAGTAAATTATGTAGTATATCAGAAGATCATAAATGTTACCAAAAAAAGAGAAAGAAAGGCAAATAGGATGGAGAGTGTGGGGCTGGAAAGCAGCATGCAATTTTAAATAGAATAGTCAGGGCTGGCCCCAATCAGAAGGAAGTATTGAGTGACGCATTGGAGCAAAGGCCTGAGCTGGCCATTTGAACAACTGGGGAATGAGGGCTCTGGGCAGATGGGATGGCAACTGCCCTAAGGTGGGGGTTTGACTTGCACACAGGAAGGAGACCAGCATGCCTGGAGCCCGTTGAGACAGGGAGAAGCTTATAGAAGTGACTACAGTAGAGGGGTTTATAAAAGTGGGGCAGGATCATGCAGTTGTCTGTAATGGTTCATATAGCTCATTTTACCATCACATTCTTAACTCTTTTTGCAAAGATGTGTCAACAACTACTGATTGGTTTAAAAATTTTGGAAACTTTTTGCAGATTATCTGAGCATGGGTCTAAAGTGACAAGGTGATGAACTAAATTCCCTTCTGTAGTTCTACATATCATTATTTTTTAAAAAAGATTATTTATTCATGGCAGACACACACACACACACACACAGAGAGAGGCGGAGACACAGGCAGAGGGAGAAACAGGCTCCATGCAGGGAGCCTGATGTGGGACTCGATCCCGGGACTCCAGATCACACCAGAGGCTGAAGGCGGCACTAAACCACTGGGCCACAGAGGCTGCCCTCTACATATCTTTAAATTCTGGACAAGGGTTGCATGTGGTCCTGAATCATGATGAAATATTTCTAGTTTATATTCAGATCTATGCTTGTTCTGTTGGCAGAGCTTCCATGAGTCAGGTTGGAGCAAGAAGATACCCATGTAACATTGTGCCTTGATTCAACAAGATACTCAGAGATCACATTCCAGGAGAGAAGAAGTTTAGAAGTGGCAGCAGGTTAACAATGGCATTTAGCTCTAAAGCACAAGGGCTTATGGGTAACAGATCCTTTTTCCTAAAAAAGAGGGGCATTCTTATCTAATATTTATGTAAAGGAAACAGCTGTAAATGGTCATCCCAGGAAATTCATTGCTAGGATTTGCCAGCCTACCCTGCAGAGACAGTTCAACTCAGCGAGATATATACATATATCTCATATATATATCATACATACATACATATATATATATATATATATATATATATATATATTTTAGCATCTTTGAAATTGAAGTTGGTAGAGCAAATCTAACAAAGGGAAATTAACGAGTGGCATTCATGCCCAGTCAGTTCATTTAATATAATGTCTTAGCTCCTGACTCTATTTTTGGTAAACTGCAAACAGAATTTACTTGTTTTCTGAAGGGGATCTGGGTCAGAAGCCAGTAGCAGAGCATCCAACAAGTTACTTTTCTGCCTTTGAACCACTCAGCTAGAGAAATGTGAGGAGCAGGTTGGAAAAAGAGGGACTGTTCTTTAGTGTCTGTTTGGAATTCGCTGTCTTTGTCCTGTACACAAGTACAGTCTGTAAAATATCACATTCCTAGAAGGTGGATTAATGAAATTCTGAAACCTCCTACATATGATACACCTCTTGGGTAATCTCACATGTGTTAAAATTGTTACAGACACTTTCCTATCACCACAATTACAGTTTTTATTGTGTGGAGTGAGGGGTGGGGGAAAGAATTCATAAAATAAAAGTTAGTCTTCGACATGTGGCAAGTCCATCAGCTACGTGATAAATCTTTCACAGAGCTGCATTCCGTAAGGTGAGAGAGTCTGCTCTCCTTTACCATGGCCTGACCTCCAGTTACTCAGTACTTCGGGGTACAACTGAACTTTGCATCAGAAGGAAGTTCCAGAGGCCCCTCGTGGGCCATCTGTTTCTTGCTGAGAACATTCTAAGGTTTTGTTTTGAGTAGTTTGTCTTTCCCCTCCTTGAATGCCATGCAGTTTACTAGAGTAGACTTGCTTTTATGTTTTCTTTCTCTTTCATGTCCATTTCTGGCTGACTGTTCAATACTGTGGCCATTGGCATGAGTCGTAATGCTTGGGTAACTGGGCAAGCAATTAGTCCAACCAGACAGATCTTCCTTCTTCAGCAAGTCTTTCCTGGCTTCTGCAAACACAGCTGGCCAGACAAAGACCATGAGAAGAAACCAGACAGTAAGTCGCTTCTTACTTTAAAAGAAATAAACTCAAAATGTTATTAATAGTTGTCATTTTGTAGTTGAAGACAAGGATGCTCCAAGCACCAATGCTATAAGGATTATGTTGGAGGGCGCTTAGTCTTTTGTGGTTCCCTGCCTCCACTGTAGCACATAACTTGGGGGAAACCGTTCAGGGTTCAAATCAACACATGGTTAGTGGAAGAAGCTTCTGGAAATCTCCACTGACATTCTGAGAAGCCAGCTTGAAAGGGAAGAACTCAGTGAGACACCTCTTCAAACATCTTGGAAACAAATGATAGACTAGTGCTGGGGCTGTAATTAGAGCCTGAGATGAGAATTCTTCTCTCCTGGAAACTAAACAAACTGGGGGAAAGAAAAAAAAATCCAAATATAATTTATAGACACAAAAGGAACAATTGAATTAGTAAGAATAGGCATGAGCTCAAAGGTAAATTGGAGCATGAATTCTGTAGGCACAAGATCACATGAAATATATTTTTTAAAGCTTTTCAAATCTCTGAATCCCATTGCTCTTGAAACGCAGTTGAAGAAATGGAAAAAGCATGGCTGGAAGTGCCAGTGAAGCCAGGGGAGTAGAAATTCTTGGTTCTAGCAGGCTGAGCTCATCTCAGGGACTGGGAATGAAGACAAAAGGAGTTGCGTTCCCACATCATCCCTGTGGAGTATGCAAGCACCGTGGCCTCCTCCCTCATCTTTGTAGACACCATATGGGATCAATCTTGGTGATGATGATAGGTCCTTGGTGACTATGATATTCCCCTAGCAGATCCTTCAGATTTGACCTGGGATGGGGTGGGGTGGAAGGGCGAAGGAGTGGGGAGGGAGAGAAGGGGATCACAGGGGATGAAAGCAGTTAATGAATTTCAAACAAAACCACAGGAAGACAAAAAGATAGGACTCCTCAGAAAAGTTTCAACACTTCCTAAATGAGTAAGTTAGAGAAACATCACTAAATGTGCTGCCCATAATTTAAGGTAGTCAGCTAGAGGATTACTTTCTATTGTGCTTTCTGAAGGCTGGAATTAGTTCTGTGGGATGCTTTTGTAAATGATACTGTCATTTTTTACTTTTCAGCTTGGTAGAGCTCGCCACTTAAGCAGGACTCCTAGGAGGAAGTTGGCTTGTTTACCACCTTTACAAGAATGATCCCAAGGGAAAGGGCAGTCCCCATTTTAGGTGTGGGTTCCTGCCACTGACTACCTGTGTGACCATCATCCGTAAGCTGATCAGCCTCTCTGGGACTGCCATCTGATCTGTGAAACGAAGGTATTGGGTTGGATGACTTTTTAGGACCTCTAAGTTCTGGAAATGGGCTCAAATGAAATATTCTATAGATTTAAGTTTATCTTAGTGATGGACACGACTCTTAGTCATCCCTTCTGGCACCTTCTTCAAAATTCTTCTTTAAAAGGAAGACTTCATAGAAAGTATTTCCTATATAGTGAAAGAGTTTAGAAGATATGACCCCAAAATATCCTATTCCAGATCATTTTTAATTCAAGGCACTTTAGAAACAGCAGATCCATGGAGGGCATCCTTCCTTTTTCCTCCTGAAAGCAGGAGATGAGATGCTGATATGGAAGATGTCCTGCCTATAGCCAGAGACGAGGTGTCAAGGCCAAGAGTGCAAACAAACCTATTAAACTAATCAGTGACGGTGACAAAACATGAGAGACACCTAACTCTGGAAAATGAACAAGGGGTAGTGGAAGGGGAAGTGGGCGGGGGGTTGGGGTGACTGGGTGATGGGCAATGAGGGAGGCACTTGGCGGGATGAGCACTAGGTGTTATGCTATATGTTGGCAAATTGAACTCCAATGAAAAAAAATTTAAAAAAATAAACTAATCTAGCCTTCTAGTTGCTTCTCCCTAATTAACTACCCTAGCCTAAGCCCCTCTGCCTTGTCACGTGCTCACAGTTTAGTCCTCCTTGTCCAACTTCATGTGGAAGCATTTGACTCTAGCTGCTTCTTTGCGTCTTCATTTTTCTTGCAAGGGCTCTAATGTACAAGTGTAAAAAAAAAAAAGTAACTAAAACTTGTATGCTTTTCCTCCTCCCCAGCTGGGCCTGGGGACCCAAATGTAAAGGAGAAATTTTTCTCTTCCTACAGTAGCAATACATGTCTCTCCGTTTTCAGTTGCTCCGTGCAGGTGACGAACATTGCCATCTATAGGAACATTCTCCTCCTTCTTACCACACTTCTGGGGAAGAGTTTGTCTTCCTTTCTCTCTGTTCTTCATACAACTGCAAATGGATGAGATCCAAGTAGAAGCCTTAGAAGCAATAATGGAGTGAGAGGAAAAGATAGGAAGGAAAGGAAGAGAAAAGTGAAAAGAAAGAACGGGTCAGAATGAGAGGAAAAAAGAAAAAGATGTGAGGAAGGGATTGGTGAGGGAGGGACCTATGACCTCCATGAGGAATGGACTCTGTCTCTGGGCAGTCTTCAGGATGAGAGGGATTCAACAGCCCTGCAATTGCTCAAAATTTCTTTAAAAACTAGAGATACTTTAACCGGCCGAGCTGAGAACGTACACCTACTTCCTCTTGAGCTCTGTGGGGCTTTCTGTTACACAAATAAAAGGGCACTTGAATCAACAGTCCCTGAGATAGAGGTGGGATCTTCTGACATAGAAGTGAGCAGCCCCAAGGGGGCAGCACCACCATGGGAAATTAGGGAGGTATTCATTAAGGCCTCCGCTAAAGAAACAAGGGCTGAGTTCTTTTTGGGCCGCCTGAGAATCCCGCAAGCCCATGAACGGCCATGGGATCCATGGATAAAACTCACTGTGCCTCTCCACTCACTTTGCCAACCCAAACAACTCCTACATTCAGGGTTGCTGCTAGGCCTTTGCATGAGTTGGGTGCTTGCTCTATCCCGCCATGATGCATCTGGCCTAACAAAAGGGACCCCCTGCTGGCAACCAAATTCAGCAGTTCTGCTCAACCTTTTTCATATGGGAATTATCATCCAGATCCATACCAGGCAAAGCTCAAATTGTCACCATTAACCAGCAACTCTCAGCACTGTGGAGAAGTAGAATCAACTCACTGTGCAAGGAGATAATGTTAACACTGTATGATCCTGGTCCCCAGGAGGAGAAATTCCATTCTAGAAGAGCCAGTACTTAGGTGTCCTCCTTTAAATCTCCCTTACAAGGGAAGGTTTGCCAGCAAAACTAGGCTTTGCTAAAAGTCAGGAGGTCAGGGAGGAGGGGTGGTGCTTGGAAAGGGCAGCAAGGCTTCTTAGGTTCTCTTAATGTTCTCTTTCTTGATTTGGGTGCTCATCACACGGGTGTGTTTGGTTCAGGACAATTCACTGAGCAGTGCAATTATGATTTGTGTGCTTTTGTGTGTATATGTTACTGTTCAATTTAGAAAATGTGGTCTTTAGGCAGTGCCCTAGGTTGTACTCTCCTTGAGGAGAAAGACTGAGATTTTATTCACAGCTCCATCCCCTTCTTTGAGTATAATGTCTGGCTCAAATTAACTACTTGATAAGTATTTGTTTGAAGAAGAAGAAGAAGGAGAAGGAGAAGAAAGGAAGGAAGGAAGGAAGGAAGGAAGGAAGGAAGGAAGAAGGAGGAAGAGGAGGAATGGCTTTCTCTTGGTGTCCAACCATTTGACATCAATGGTTCAACCATTGGTTCAGCCCCAACCATTTGGCATCCTTCAAAAGTTTTGGCTCTGACCAGTGAGCCACTGTGTGCACACAGTTTACAGATGTCAGCTGGTGGCAACAATTCTGTGCTACTTGGCAAGGAAACTCAACGCACAGGTGCCTGGCCTTTTGTGTTTTAAGTTCTCTTAAGCATGGGATGGATTTTTGAGCCTGGAGAAGCCATGCTAATCATAAACGTAAATCATCTGGAATGAGAGTTCCATGGTTGAGAGAAAACCAGACTTCAAAGATGAAGGCCCAGCTGCTCTTGGAGGAACCCAAAGAACTGCCCCAGAAGGTTCTGTCTCACCCACAGCGGGTAGAACGGCCAGGCACCCTGATAGTTGTAGGAGAGCCTTCCTATCAGGTCGTTCATTGTCATCACAGGACATATTTATCTAGATGTAAAAAAAAAATACTTCAAATTTCTTTTAAACAATCACAAACTTATGGAAAGTTTGCAACTATGGTCTAAAAACATGTTTTCTGAACTAGTGGAGAGGAAGTTGCCCAGCTGTTGCCCCTCATCTCTAAATACTTTAATGCGTGTTACACACAATCGACGAGGGCTTTCCCCCATGTGGCCACAGTACAACCATCCTGGTCGGGAATGTAAAGACATACGTCACTACTGTTTAAACTGCAGTCTCCCCTACAGTTTCACCAGTTGCCCCAATCAACACGCTTTATTGCAAAGAGATCAAGTTCTGAATAATGCATGCCATGCAGTTATTATGCCTCTTTGGTTTCCTTATCTGGCAGCAAATTTTCAGTCTCCCCTTGCCTTTCCTGACTTTCACACTTTAAAGGGTTATAGGCCGGTTGGTTGGTAGACTGTCCCTCAGTTTGAGTTCGCCTGCTGTGTGCTCATGATTCCATTTCGATTCTTCTCTTTGGGCAGGGAAATCACAGAAGGGAGGCTATGTTCTCCCACTGCATCCTCTCTAGATGCATAGGATTTTCATTTGTCCAGTGACTGGCAATGTCCATTTCGGTGCCTTGATTAAGGTGGTGTCCTTAAGGTGTTCTGGGGGAGGTAATCTGACTGAAACCACGTAAATATCCCATTCAGCCTCCAACTTTCAATTGTTGCATTGATGAAGTCTGTAAGGACCCATGGTTTCCTTCCTGTTTCTGTCGTGGGCTACACACTCATGAGATGCTCTTGCTTAATTGTCCCTGAGTTTGGTCGGTGGACCCTTTTCCTTTGCAAGTTGGGTTCTGTATCCTTGGACATGTCTTTGTCATTCTATGGGTGCGTTGTTTCCCACCATAAGATGCTCCAGGCTTGTCTCGTACCTTCCTGCTCCAGCCGGGGAATGAGCCATTTTCCCAAGGAGTAACACATATGCCCACGTGCACTCACATGTGCAATCTTTTTTTCTGTGATTAGCTTTTATGTGGAAAACTGTAGGTTCGCATCCATAGCTCTGATTCGAATTCAACACCGACATTGTTGGGTTCATATTTGTAGCTTCCCTCTCTGACAACAAGAGACTCGGCTCCCAATACCCTTAATATATTTGCTTGTTCGATTGATCTCCCAGAGCATCACTGATACTTCTTCTCCGCCACCATCTCCTCCTCCGTATGGTCACCCTCCACACCCTCACCCTCGGCTGGGGCTCTGCACCCTCTGTGGGCCAACCCCTCTGTGTGGCCTCTCCTGGCCCAGCTTGGGTTCTGACATCCTCGCTGAACACCTCACCTTGGGCGCCTCCTCACCTGCTGTGTGTCTGGCCATCATCTGTGCTGCCCCCCCCCCCCGACCACCCTCACCTGGGCTTTGACCCTTCCCTCCATGTAGCTGCCTGCGTGTGTGGCTCCCTTCTCATCCCACCTGGCTCCTGCCCCTCTGCTCTGGGCTCTGCAGCTTCTGACCCTCTCCCACTGCCCGTCGGAGCCCACTGTGGTCTGCCTCCACCTAATGGCTTCAGGAGTGAATTCTTTAGGAAAGGAAGGAAAGAGAAAGGAGGGGAAGAAGGGAGGGGGAAGGAGAGCTTTCTCCCACCTTTTGGCCCAGAAAAATGTTTCCAGCATAGTTGTTTTAAACACTTATATTCTACCCTTTAGGTGGTTCACTCATATCTTTTGACTTCTAACTGAGAAAGAGAAAATCCTTTCATACCAGTAAAGAGAAATATCTGCTTCTTTTTATCAGAGTTTTCAGGCAAGTGTTTGCCATTAGTCTTATTACAAATTCAGGTAACCCTGGCAGATCCATCTTGGTTGAGGAGGATTGAGGATGCTGGGAACAGCTTCACTGAGGAGGAGAGGGCGCTGCCTTTAATTTGTAGCTCTCGGTTAGGAGAATCCCTGGAAAACCCAAGCTGCCACCTCACCTTCCTTCAGAGGGACCCTAGTCACACCCAAGAACCAAGAACTGCTGCTGTGGAGAGGGTTGCTGTGAGGAAGGGATTCTACCTCCACCCCCACCCCCCACCCCCTGGGGCTGGCCTGGTGGCCTTCCAGTGGCACTACCTTCCTAGCACACCAACATAGTGCTCCTCCTTTTCCCAGGGTCCTTCATCTTTTCCTACCTCAGAAAGATCCTACCTACCTGAGGCACTCCTCAGGAGTTTGGGGGCGGGTTTTGGGCCTCTTTTCCCATTTGAGATGTTTCATCTGGGGTCCTAACACAAAACATCGGTTGCATATCAACATTTCTTCCACAAGTGACCTTGTCTGAAATGACCCATTCTTTGCTAGAATAACTTCCTTGCTTTAGCATCTTTCTGTCTAGAAAAGTCTTCCATTTTGTACAGCTCCTGGGAGTTCTTTTCTGCTTGCTGGATGGGTTGCTATGTGACTCACGAACCAACGAGTAAAACCAATTCGATCTTCAGATTGACTCAGTTGAGTTTTTTTTAAAACAAGACCTTTGGAGTGTAAGACCTCTTGTCTCAAGCCAGTGAAATACAAGAACTTCATGCTGAACATGGATTGTAATTGGAGAGAAAAGCTGTTTTCATAAAAACAAAAACAATAGCGATAACAATAAAACCCAGCAATATTGGGCTTATTTTCAGAGTATTTTGTGTCAGGCATCATAAGAATGATCCCATTGTCCTCTTGTCTGCCTAACTTATTTGGAATTACCTTGAGCCATTTCTTGTCAAAGGAAAAGTAACCACCTCTGCCCTGCCTGGCTCTGGACTCTTCACTGTGCCCCCATGGCACCCTTGATCCCAGAGCAGGTCAACAAATTATCTATCCCCTTTTCCTCTGAAATAATTCACTCCTTAATGCAGGGACTTACTCACCTTTGAACTTAGAACCTGATTAAATAAACCAGCGACCACTTAGCTCTTGAGCCACCTTTGCTGGGGAAGACATTGGATTTGAAGATGTAATTGTGCAAGGACATGCTCCAGCCTCTTAGGAAAGAGTGGCCATGGACCCTTCCTTTGAGGAAGGAAAAGCAAGTTTCTGGGAGCATTGCAAATACTTCATGGAAATCCCACTTTGGGGTTCTGGGAAGGACTCTTTGCTTGGTTCCTCACTCCATATGCCTCGTGGACCAAATTGCCACATTTTTCTGATGGATCAGCATGTTCTTGGCTACAGAGGGATGAAATGCTGCTACAAATTGAGCTTCGTAGGAACTTCAAAGGAGATGTGTCTTGGGGAGACCTGTCCTCCAGCATGCCTTACATGAGACGCAGGCATTTGAAGACTTGAGACCCAAGCACCAAAATGAAATTAATAAGAAGGAGCTCCCGGGCTGGTGGGGGGGCAGGGGGAGGAGGGTATCGGGTGCTGCCTCAGATCCAAATGAGCAGTCAATTGAGTCCAGTAAGGGTGCAAATGAGCTGTTTTACGTGATTCTGGCGAACTCACCCCGCACCCATAATTTTCTTTCAAGGTATCATTAAAATCAAATGATCCCTTATTTTGGGTATCCATTTACACTGTAATTATTTTGGTCTTTTGTAGTGACTTTCGTGGTTAAATTAGGCAATTCTTCTCCTGCCTGGTAGATAATGTAATGATTTTTTAATCATGTGTCTTTTTTACCAGCCAAATTGTTTCCATGATCCCATTAGAAATTCTTCTGTAGTGATTCCAATGGATTTATTGAACTACTGGTGACAGCCACACTGATGAACTGCAGGCTGCCTGCTGCTAAATTCTGCCAATGAATATCAAACACCTTCCATTTTCCCGTGGACCCAGAACAAATCCAATAATTTGGATCAATGGACGTATTTCCAGACATTCACCATAGAAGTGGTGAAGAATACCAAGCAGTTGTGGTAGGTTTTTTTTTTTTTGTAGGTTTTTTTTTTAAGGTTGTATTTATTTTTTGTTCTGATTATGAGAGTAGTAGTATGCTTTAGTACAAAACACTCAGAAATGTATAAAAATACAAATGCTATAAAAATCTGTAATTTCATCAATTACAGCCATTTCATATCTGATGGTATTTCCTTATAATTTTTTAATCTACTTTTGTTTCTATTATCTAGCTATCTCCAAAATTGGAACTGTAACTTACATGCAACTTTTAAAAAATATTTTATTTATTTATTAATAAGAGACACAAAGAGAAAGGCAGAGACAGAGGCAGAGGAAGAAGCAGGCTCCCTGCGGAGAGCCTGATGCGGGACTTGATTCCAGGACTCCGGGATCATGCCCTGAGCCAAAGGTGGACGCTCAACCACTGAGCCACCCAGGTGCCCCGCATGCAACTTTTTAATCAGATTTTTTTTCATTTAATATTCATGATAAACACTCTTCCAGGTCACTGAATATTCTTTGAAGTTATGGTTTTAATGGTTGTATAGTATTTCATTGTATTCATTTGTCCTCTAGATGTTTCCTGAGGTCCTACTATAAACAAGCACAGTATTTACTATAATTTATTTGGTTATTTCCTTATTGTTTGAACACTTGAATCCTTTAAAAAAAAAAAAAGGCACAGCATGGCTCTCTGCTCCAAAGCAGCAAAGGCTCCCTATTTTGCTGAGAGTTAAGTCCTTTGAAGCCCTTCATAACTGCCCTGGAGCTCTTTTTCTCTGTGGTCCCCAGCTTCCTCTCCTACTGCTGTACTCAAGCTACTAGACTCCCTACTGCTTCTCTAATTGCTGGACAGGCTTGTGTCCCCACATCTTTGCACCAGCTGTTCCCTCTTCTTCCAATGCCCAGGGACCCACTATCTAGATATCTCACCTCCTTTGAAACTTGGCTCAAATATCAGCTTCTTAGTGAAGCAACCTGTGCCCCCTCATCTTGTTTCCAGCCATTCCTGATCCCTCTTACATTGCCCTGCTTTTTCTTGGTCTTCCAGCACCTGTTCTCTCATGTACTATTTTACTTTAGCTCTTTCCCAAGTTTACTGTTTGTGATCGATTCTTCCCACCGTAATGTAAATTCCACGAGGGTAAAGATTTTTGTCAATTTTGTTCACTACAGTATTGCCGGTGCCCCAAAGAATACTTGGCCCGTGGCAGGTGCTCAGTAAATGCTCGTCAAATGAGTGGATATGTGGTTTGCATTTTTGGTTGTTGTGAATGATGCTGTATTGCATCTAAATCTTTCACTGACTCTCTTGTGAGCTTCTGATACTGAGTCAAGGAAACAAATGTTAAGCCTTCTTGAGATGTATTGTTTAGCAGCCTTTTAGAAAAGTTGTTCCTTTTTTTTTTTTTTTTTTTTGAGAAAGAGAAAGAGAGAGAGCACAGGGGAAGGGGCAGAGGCAAGAGGAAGAAAGAGAATCTTAAGCAGTCTCCACACCTAGCATGAGCCCGACACGTGGTTCTATATCATGACCCTGAGATCATGACCTGAGCTGAGACCAAGAATTAGACGCTTACTCTACTGAACCACCCAGACGCCCAAAGTTGTCCTGACTTACCCTTTTAGCAGCAGAGTATAACAAACTGCCCATCTCATTGCATTAACATATGCGTTAAGTGCTATTTAAAAATATCTTTGCCAATCTAATTGGTGAAAAATGCTACTTGTTTAAAAAATTTGCAATAAAATTTTTTACAGCTGATTGTTACTAAATTTGAATATTTAAAAATTAGTTTCTTAGTCATGGACATATATCTTCTTTTGAGGATCAACTGGTCACCTTTCTTTGATTTTTCTGTTGTGAATATTAGGACTTATTTTCTTTAGAAATAATCTGTGCACAGTGAGATATATTTAGAAAAAGAAAATAAACAGCCTTGAACCTACCACACAGCCTGAGAAATCATACATCACGGATTCTTTTGAAACCCTGATGAGCATCTCCCAATCCCATTGCTCAGCATCTTCACAAAGAAACCATTGATTTTTGCATGTCCTCAAATGGCATGTTATTTAATTTTATCTCTTTTGAAAATGGAGTCACACTGTGTAGTCTTCTGCACTTTAACGCTGTGTTTCAAAATCACCAATGTTTGATTTCTGCAGCATTAGGTTCACTTGTTTTTACTGCTGAATAGTACTCCCTTATGTGTATGTACCACCTTTTATTTATTCAGTGTCCTGTCAATGGACAGTTGGGTCATTTCTAACTCTTTGGTGTTATAAACAACACTGCTACAAACATTCTTGCTCGTGATTCCTGAGGCATTATATATGCAAAGTCTCTTTAGGGTGTGGAATTGCTGGGTCTTAGATGGCGTGTATGTTTGGCTTTTCAAGATAATGTGGAACTCCTTTCCTACTTGGGTGTAGCAGTGAATATTCCCACTATCAGCAGATGGTCATTCCTCTGGGTTCACATTTTTTCTAACACTTGCACTGCATTGGAATGGCTGAAAAACAGTATCCCATTTTGGTTTAAATTTCATTTATCTTTCAAATGATTCCTGAGTGTTTACTTTTCCTCTTCTTTTTCTTTTTACTTAAAGGCTAATAGTGCCATTACCATAATCGTTTATTGAGTTCTGCTTTGAGTGTGCCAGTCCCTGCACATTACATGTTATCCCCTCGTCAACCTTGTGAAGTAGTTAACTATCATCTTTGGGGCCCCAGAATATATGTTACAAATGGTATTTCCCCAAATGATAGCCTTCACATAATTTATAACACGTGACTTGAGACCCAAGACTGGCCTGTAATCCTGTTAGACTGCAATTTGACAGTAGATATCTAATTTCTAAAGTCTGTCCTATGGTCTTTCAGAGATTTTTTTAAAATATCACTAATAGTTTTGTGAAAGAAAAAGTTCTTTCTTAGTTAAGCCGAGGCTAGGTTAGAGTGTCTGGTTGATTTCCAAATATATGGGAAATCATTATCTTTAGGGAATGTTTTGCAACAATGTGGATGGTTCATCAGAGTTAGACAACAGAACCCTAGAGCTTCCTGTCAACCTTTTGAGAGAAAACCCATAGGAAATATTGTCAGATAGATCCAAAAGGACATGAAAAGGTATTATCATCTTGTTTTGGAAGGTTCCGGCTAGATTGTCTCCCAGAACATCCTTCTTCTGAGGGAGGAGGTCCCAGCAAGCCTGGCTCAGAGTTATGGGAGCAGGGAGGGGCTGACATGTTTTGCTGCTACTCATCTTGGGCTAGGCTAGGCTCAGGAAGTCCACTGGGCCACAGGACCCCTGGGCCTTCAGGCAGCAGGACGAGGGAAGGCTAGTGGGATGTTCATGAAAGAGGTAGAGAGAAGGATGACACTGTGGGCCTCAGAGACTAGACCCTTCCCATGGCACTCCTGGGTGGGTCCTCCCCCAGATTTTGCTTGTCTACCAGCCCAAGATCATGCTCTGTCTGATGCTTTGCTGTGTCAGTCAAATTCTCAACCTTTCCATCATTCGCTTTCCCTTTGGCATGTGTGGTCTTGTGCTATTATTTATTAAAAAAAATAATTTTACTGAAGTGTAATTTGCATTCCATGAAAGTCACCCTTTTTAAGTGTACAGTTCAATGATTTTTAGTGAATTGTGCAACCATCACCAGCATTGGCTGTCAATCCTTGCGTCCCACTTTCCTGGGCACTTTGGATAAATGGAGTGATATAAAATGTGATCTTTTGTGTCTGGCTTCTTTCACTTAGCATGAACTTCATTCCTTTGTACCAATGGAAATACGTTGGAATAGTGTTCCATTGTTTGGATATATTGTACTGTATTTATCATTCACCAGTTGATGGATATTTGGGCTGTTTCCACCTTTTGGCTGGTTTGAATAGTGCTGCTCTGAACATTCCTGGGTAAGTCTTTATGTGAACATGTGCCTTAATTTCCCTTGGGTATGTACCTAGGAACGGAATTGCTGCACCATATCGTAAGACCATCTAACTATTTAAGAAACTGCCTGTTTCCACATCAGTGCCCAATTTTACAACCCACATGATGGACATCTTTGTATGAGTTCTGTCTCTATACGCTGTAGACTTCTGCAGATAGCAATCCCACTCGTAGCCCCTTGTAACTCTCACTGTCAGTGGAGGAGAGGGTTGTGGTCATTAATGATGATGGCTATAGTGGGCTGAATGGTGGCTCTGAAGATATTATCCATGTCATAATCCCCGGAACCTGTGAATATTATCTTATGTGGCCAAAGATGTGAGGAGGAGCTAATCCTGGAACATCCAAGTGGGTCCTAAATGCTGTCACAAGCACCATTATAGGAGGAGAGGGATAGTGGGAGATCGCATGCATATATACAGAGGAGAAGACTATGTGAACACAGAGCAGAGAGAGAAGTGGCCACAAGCCGAGGAATGCTGACAGTTACGGAAAGCTGGGAGAGGCAGAAAACAAACTCTTCCCAGATCTTCCAGAAGGGGTATGGCTCTGGCCACACCTAATTTCAGCTCAGTGAAACTGACTTTGGATATCTGGCCTCTGGAACTGTGAGAACACATTTCTTTTAAGCCACTAAATTTATAATTTCTTACAGCAGCCACAGGAAACTAATACCGTTGCTTAGTGTGGTGGCTAAATGGAGCAAGAGTAGAATCTGCAACACAGCATATTGGGAGGTCATAAACGTAGTCCTGGATCCAGAAGACAAAGGGGTTTCCGATTCCTTTGGAATAAGCCTTCTTATGAATGAAGTGCATTCACTGACTCATTCAGTCATTCATCTTCAACCAAGAAGGTTCTAGGAACTCTGTTTGACTGCACTTACTACATCATGGACATGTTTTTCTTTCTCTCTGGGAAGAAATTACACATCAGCCATTTTTGGATATACTTTATTTTCCATTGTACACAAACCAGTGTTACTGCCTATAATCATAAAGAGCAGGATTTTGGAACCAGGTTGCTTGTGTTCAAAGCTGGCTTTGCCACTATGTAGCTGTGTGGCTCTGGGCATGTCACTTAGCCTTCTTGTGCATGGGATCCCTTTTCTAAATAATGGAAATGATAATTGCACAAACCTCATACAATTTTTATAAGGATCAAGCAGTAAAGGTTTAACAACCACCTCTCTTGATTTGTATGTAGCATTTGCCAATCTCTGTGGTGTAAATGCTCCCTTTGTGGACAATTTGAAGCTATCAAAGTAGCATCACTGAGTATGGCGTTGGAAAGAGATGCACAGCAGCGCACCATGACGTGACATAATATTTCCTCTAACACAGAAACAATGCATTGAAATAACCACAAGAATGTAGATAATAGTAAACGTAGTGAAATAAATTAGGGAGAGATTCATTTTGAACATTTGTTAACCTTGTTTTTAAAAAGAATTTACTGAATTCTTTAATCATGGCTGTGTTTAACAACTGGCTTATAAATTTCCAAAAGTTTAACAACTGACACTTACTCATGAGCTGGCATAGACTAACTCGAGTTTATTTAAATTAATGTATATAAGGGACTTGGAACAAAGCCCGACACACAGCAAACGGTATATAAGTGTTAGCTAATTTCTACTGCTATTGTTATTATTTTGACTAGTGAGCTCTATAAAAGCTGAAATGAGGTATTTTCCTTAATCACTCTGGGAAAGCCCTGGCACTAACCCAGGATCCTCTTTTGTCCCCAAGGATGACTAATGACTGTCAGGAGAGACCCAAGGGTAAGAGTGTGGGCACCCATGAACAGCACTGAATTGGTAGCAAAACGGAGGAAATGGTGGCTTCTCCATCTATCAGAATTCTTGATGCATTCAGAGCACTTTGGCCTTGGGAGCCAACTGTTAGGAATAAAGAAAAGGCCCAGAGGGGGATGAGGAGGGCAGCATGCAGCTGACGCACCATTTTAGGGATTTTGGGTAAGAGCCACCAGCTAGCCGGTGGCAGAGTTGAAGCTGGGGTCTCTTCATTCCAGTCTGCTGGTCTTCCTGGTGCATCATGCTCCCTGTTAGTCTTTAGATGGTGACCTTTTGTTCTCTGTCTGACATCTCCACCTCTGATTTAAAGTTGAGTAATATTTATAAGAAGCACTGTGGAGATCAAGAATTTATGAGTCACCGTAAACACGGTCCAAAGGCAAGTGACTTAAAGAAATCCCTTTGCCAGGTAGTTCGCATGGGCTCCCTCAATGTTGGATGTTGCTTAAAAGCCTGGAAAATTAATTCATCATAATGATCGCTTTATCCTTTGTTGATGAAACTAATTCCCTAAGTTGTAAACTTATATCCAAAGTTTTAAAGTACTTAACAATAATTAAAGTGTTTTTCTAATACTCCTTTAAATGCTCCTTTAAGAGATCAATTTATTCTGGAATATGTAGGGGGGAAAATAAACAAATTACGTAAAACCAGCTGATTTACAAGTTACACTGGATGTTCTTTGTGTTGTAAGTTGGAAGTTTTAGTTTTCCTTGAATTAGCTCCCAACGGATAGAATAACATTAAACATGCTGAAGAAAAAAAGAGTGGAGTAAAGACTCAACTTCAGAGACTTCGATCTATTCTAGGACTTGTGCACCACAAAGTGTGCTGTGTAAAAATTTTATTCCCTGGGAGATGCTTTAGGGGAAAAAGCTCTCTTTGATCAAGTAAGTTTGGGGGCTGCTGCATATTAGTCCCTCTTGGGGATGTGCAACACACAACAGTGTGATAAAGGCTCTGAGCAGCGCTGCTATAAAGACAAAGCCCTAATTTTGTGTAACCCCCTCCCCATCTTGTTTGGCTCCTGGATCCTGTTTTCATATAAGTCATGTGAACATCTTGGACAACTGGTGTTCTTTGGGAACAAGTTTGGAATCCCCACTTGGGGGGATTATTATTAGCAATAATAAATTGTTTTGTGATCTTCAGCAAACCCTAGCCTCAGTTTCTCCTTTCAACTAATAACCCCCGACAGAGATGCTATGAACCAAAATTTCCACAGAAAGCTTCTTTCAAAACTTTGGAAATGCTACTTCCATGTTTGGCTAAGATTCATCACCAGGAAGCCACCGTATAGGTTCTCCTATTACTCTATTCTCTTGCAGCTCTCCATAATGCACCACCACAGAATGTCACCTGGGACTGGCACACACATAGAAGGGGACACTGGGCAAGGCCAGGGAAGCTACAACTTGTTTCAATTTCAACCTGGTGGCTTGTTTCAAAGGTCCTGTTATTTTCTTCTGAAAGCACAACGAGTAATTCCCTTTAGTATATTTGTAGCCACGTACGTTGTGACAAGTTGTCATGGAATTACCTGTGGTTCACATCATCATTTCAAAGGAGGCTTAAATGTGGAGCCAGGATGACTACTCATTACTCTGCTGCCTTCTCAGTTTGGGTATAGTTTAGAAATTGGGTAGTATGTAATCTAAATAAACAAGCCAGGGCAAAGTACCCAAAAGACTGAAAAGTATGCACTCTGGCAGGATACTTGGAGTTTAGCTCTTGTGACACCAGCCAATGATTCATTAATCAACATGGTGCCCAATGGACCAGGGGCCCATAACTGGCTTCACGTCTTCTCCTCCCAGAGTGTGTTAAGCTTAAGTAGGAGCAAATACTCATCTTTGCATGTAGAAAATAATCACAAATTAGTTTTGGGTGTTTCCTTGAAGTGAGGGCAAGACTAATTTGGGCTTTGGGGGATCTTTGTCTTTAGGGTCTCTGGAGAGTGTCATAAGGCTCTTCACTGAATCAAGCTTCCCTGGGTGGAGATGAACTTAACTTCAAAAACAAAGCTTTAGATCCCAATTCCAGCCAGGTTTCTGCCTCTCTGTCGTCTAATAAAGAACAGCATTTATAAATTGGAAAAACCCAAGATGATCTTTTTGGTTAAAGTAGATTGTTCATAAAATTCTGAAAAATGTCTTTCCCCTTGTGAGCTCCACTGAAAGCCACAGATTCTTTCTCAAACAGGAACTGAGGTTCAAGGAACTTGACTGGGCTGAAGTATAAAGCAATATACTTTATCTCCTTAATATGCCCCATACTTTCTCCCCTATTTTTGTGTTTGTAGTATTAACATGGGAACAGTTCAGTCAATGGTCACTGACTTAGCTGCCTTGATGACGAATGAGTCTTCCATTCTCAAGGCTTGGTTTTCAAAGTTGAGAGGGGGACCAGCATGGAAGAGCTTATCTGGCTGGTGCCTAAGGAGAGGAAGATGTTTTGCATTTTACCTAGATTTCCTTGTCCACAGACCTAAGAACTTGTTCCTGGACAAGGCCAGGCCAGCCTCATGGATTCGTGAACTGTGCAGTTGCACAGGGCCCTTGCACGGAGAAAAACCCCAGGCTTAATGCCCTGTGGTCACCAGGTTGATATTCTTAATGCTTTTTGAACAAGAGGCTCCACATTTTCGTTTTGCTCTGGGCCCCTCTAATTAGACAGCTAGTCTGCTCTTGGATTGTTGTTGACCAAGGCTCTCTGCTCTCCTCTTGCTCTTCTCTCCCACCTATGGCCCCAGACACAGCCTCAAGACCATGCTCAGTGCCATGTTCACTGGAGTGGGAAGCTGATATTCACTCTGCGGTGAGTCAACTTTCAACCGTCCTCCTGTGGATTGTATGGATTATTTGTCATCTCAGACTGGCTTTCTTTTGGTCCAAACTTTCAAGAAATGCCAGGTAATTTCAACAGCTGTGCCAGCCAACCATGAGCAGGAACGGAAATGTGTTACCTAGTAAAAGCTTTGCAGTGCCAAAGCTTAATAAAAATTATTTTTCATTTGTAATTTCTGTATCCTTATTAACAGTAAACCAGTAAATAGGTGCAAAATCAATTTCCATTGGAGTTTACATTAGAATTTTTAAAATGTCTTACTGAACACCTGAAAACTTCGTTTTATGATGTCAGTTTCCTGTAGGTTGTTTCTATTTTTTTATGTTGAGCCATATGGAGGACATTTATTCAATACGCTTATTAAACTTTTATATTTGCACCACTTGCATAAACTGCCTAAAAATTATGATGATGAAACTCCTGTCTTTGGATAGTCATTTGTTTTCTTTCCTTTTCTTTCATTTAATTGCCTCAGGAAATTCTTCTGCAAGGACAATGTTTCTCATTTAACTAATTTAAAAATGGCTCACCTCACGATATTCCCCTTCCCTCCCTTGCTTTTGGTAGAAATGCTTTTATGAAACTGCACTCTACTGTGATGACTTGTGCCTTCTTGAAGAGCATGGAAAGAACTAGTCCTGTTATGACTCTATCTATATTCCTGAGAGCATGTGTCATACGTGACACTCTTCACTTTCAAGTAGAGTTGGTGGAAGGGCTATAGCTCATCGGGGGTAACACCTAGCACAGCCAGCTGGCATTGTGTCACAAGGGCCACCGGGAATGAGGTGAGAAAAAAAGCCTAGTTCCCAAAACTTCTTTTAGGAGGATTACTGTACATGGTTGAAGGGAATATTTTGAGAAGTCACTTGGGGAAGTGCTAAGAATTTCAAGGAGTGTGATCAAGTAACAATATGCTCCATCAACTTCCCTCCAAGCATCTTGGCTGCATTTAACTGGAGAGCTTTTGTTTGCTGGGTGGGGCGTGGAATTTTAGGGCTGGAGACAAATTGCCTGGGATACTGGATGAGAAGCTGAACCCTGTCAGCAACCCCCTTTTTCCCCCCTTGCAAAGATCTTTAAGCAGCTCCTCTGCAAATAAGCGTGGAAGAGAGATTTTAAAGACTATTGGCGTGAAGGGATGCCCAAGCAGCTTTCCCACAGATCTCCCTACCTTGATCCAGGCCTAATGAAGTGCCTTGTATAGTTTAACTTCTCCTGAGCAACTGCTTGGTTTTTGTGTTTATGGTCTTTGGGACTCATAACCAGCCCCGATTTCCTCTTTGAGGTGGCTGGAGCAGGGCTTAGAGCTAAATGTGTCATCCACCTCTCACACAGTGCACAGGAGTCCCTGTATGCCTTTTGTCTTAACCTCATTCTGGGGCCCATTTTATTGTTTAGCCTTTATTTCCTCTTGCCTAATTTTTCCTAATTATTCGATCCTGCCAAACAGTGCACATCTTCTCAGACAGCCTTAACTCCTTACTATTTTAACTTTTAAATTATTGTTTAGAGATATTTTATATAAATATTCTCCTCCTCTTTCAGGGGAAGGGGGAGGAGCAAAGGGAGAGGGAGAGGGAGAGAGAATTTCAAGTGGGCTCCAGGCTCAGTCCAGAACCCAACACGGGGCTCAGTCTCATGGCCCTGAGATCATGACCTGAGCTGAAATTGAGAGTTGGAGGCTCAACTGACTGAGCCCCCCAGGTGCCCCTCCTCCTCTTTCTTCTTCCTCTCTCTTCTCCTCTTCCATGGTTGCTTCATAAGAGTAATAGCAATTATTTCATATTTCATATTATTGGCCTACGTTTCAAGAGCTGGCCACTATTGTTGTGATTTGACATAAACTAACCAAGTACCCAAAGGGCATATTTTGGATGAAGATTCATAATACATATGGGGGAGGGAGGGAGGAAGTGCTCAGTTTGCCAAATAGTAAACTACACTGTTATATAAATAAATATAGAAAAGAAAAGCAGCAAAGGGTATTAACTTTGTAGGATCTAAAGAGGCACCTGGGGGCTCAGTCAGTTATGCATTTACCTTCAGCTCAGGTCATGATCCCGGGGTCCTGGGATGGAGCCCCACGTTGGGCTCCCTGCTCAGTGGGGAGTCTGCTTCTCCTTCTCCCTCTGCCCTCCCAACCCCCCACTCCTGTGTGCACACGTTCTCTCTCTCTCAAAGAAACAAAATCCCTAAAACAAAACACACAATAAAATACAAGTGAATTGTATAGCTTCTCACCAAATAAAGCTGTTATGTGTATTCATATTAAAAGTAATTCAATATATAATTAGTACTCTTCACGTATAGTAGAACTAATTATCAACAAATTATCAGACTAACCTAACAACTGTATTTCCACTTGTCTACCAGATGTTTCCACTAGGATGTCCCAAAGGCACATTAAATTCAACATCTTCAGTGCCAAACTCACCATCTCTGGAAACTCTCACCACCACCCATCCTGGTTCCTCCTCAGTCCTATACATCATTGTTGAGATTCCTGTCTAGAACCTGCATTCAGTCAGTGACCCAGTCCCTTGATTACGTTTGTCATCCTTGAATGTAGACTCTGTTTCCAAAGCCCACTTCGGATCCTGCTCTCTCTCTTCTTTGCCTGAGTTCCTTTATGAGGGTGCGCACTCCAGGGTGTACGTAAAACTGTCTTCTGGACAAGTGGAGAAAATATTAGAGCTTCTATTTCTATTTTTCTCTCTTCAACATTTCTGGCTTTTTTAACACCTGCCAATTAAGTATGTAGATAAATAATAGTCACCCGTAGGACTACAGGCTCAGAAATTTCTAAGGGAGTGTAGAGTCAAAATGGTTTGGAGACGACCAACGTAGACTACTGCGGTTTGTCACCCTGCTAACTTCCCTGCCATTTTATTACTCACCCATGAGGTAAAGGGCTTAGAATAAACTAAGTACTATGCAAGTGTTAGCTATTAGTACTATGAGCCTATTCCCAAACTTCACTTTCTGTCACCATCTTAAATCCTCATTGTCAAGCATCTGGATTTTTTATTTCAAAGTCTTAAATCATGTTGGTTCTCACAGTAGGATCCCCAGGGTTAGCTCCCTGGCTCCTGGCCTGCTTTGCCAAGTCCAGGTGAGCAGGAGCTGGAGCCCTGGGCTCTCGCTAGGTAGAGGAGGAAGACTGCTGTGGCCCTAGCACCACAAGATGTGTTCACTCTGCTTCTAGCCTCTTCCTTGATTGCTTCCCATGACACGTCATGTCCCTAAACCACACAAGTCATTATGCCACTGCCCAGCAAAAGAAAATGTTTTAGATTATCTATAAAATCAAGTCCACATTTCCTGAGAAGGCCGGGGAGACTAAAACATATTGGAAAGCGCCTACCTGGGATCTGTGGAGGTCTGTCTGCATTTGCTGTGGAAAAGGAAGGAGGGGGAGGAGCCTAGTGTTAAAGTCTTTGGAGTCAGGTGACATGAATTCAAACCTGTCCCTCTCAGGTGTGATCTTGGGTGAATCGCTACGTATCCCCCTACCTCAGTTTTCTTATCTGTGAAAGGGTGCAATGAGACCTGCCCCTCTGGATTGTAAGATACCATGTTATAATGTTCTTGGGAACCAACAGGTTTTTCATAAATGGCAGCTCTTCCCATTTACAACATTCTGACATTTTTAGAAAGTCTTAGAAAGCCCCCCACGAAAGGGATATTTCAACACATTCTAGGTAGAGAAGACTTCTTGAAAGCAATGACAACTAAATGGGAGCTGAGGAACGTAGGAAGGTCCCAGGCAGTGCGGGACAGGTGGGCCTGGGGAGCTGGACTGGGCCGGGGACTGGCATATTGTCTCTTCTTTATGATGCTGCAGAGTTTTCATTGCAACCAAACTTCTTTCCACTTGTGGCAACTCACTGCGACCAACTTTTTTTCTGTAAGATAGCACGCGCAGACACCAGGCCACACAACCCTCGGAAAACTAAAGCAGCACCTTTATTTTATACAAACAGTATAAAATGTTCATTATGTAAGAGCTGTGTCTTGTTTACAATATATTATATTGCTTCAAGCCAATGCCAAAAGTCATACATTATATTCCCTATTTTATTGTGTTTACAATATATTATATTGTTAAATGCCACTGCCACAGTGTTTGTCTTTCTTTTCTTTTCTTCTTTCTATATTGAATTCTCTGGAATCATAGTAAGGTCAAAAGATATCGAGAGTTTAAGAACAAGGGGGATTTTAAAAATGTGACGAATGTCTAAACACATGAGAATAAGGTGAGAAACATAACTTCAACATGATTAACTGCTCCATCCGAACCCTTGACTTATGCCTTTTGGTTCATTTACCTTCTCCACTGTCCCCCAGCCCCTTGACACCACGAGTGCGTTGTCATTTTGGAAATTATTTGCCGGCTATGCAACCGAAAAGACACAATTTTAACCTGATCGACTGACATAACATCAAACCTGTCCCAAAGCACTGAAACAAGAAATCTATACCATCCCGCTACAGACGTACTTAGAAAACTTAAAAGGAAGAGTAAATATCAGCTCAGTGATTTATAATGAAGCTAATAAAATTCAGGCCAGTATTCTTAACTGTAATGAACATTATTTGAACATTCAACACATGAAAGGTTAACAAAGGCTATGAACTTGGTGTAACTTAAAACGTTTCAGATGTCGGGGTTCACCAGATGTAATTGGATTCAGGTGGATCCTGCCGCTCCTCGGCCTTTTTAAGTGAAGGCGTGTGTTGCCTGAGCCGGGCGCCTGCTGGCCTCAGGGCATGCATGAGGCTGGCTCCGTACCCTGTAAAATTATTCACAGCTTAAAAGAAAAGAAACTACAAAAACAGTCTCTTCAGATTCATTATTAACCATTCAAATGAAATCCATTTTCCCTTTTCAACCCAGAGTGAAAGACCACAGGCACCACTAAAAGCTACCTGAATGAGGGGATGTTATAGGTTCAAGATCTCTGTTACAGAAGAAACCCATTTTAGGAACTCC